TGTTTGAAAGCAAGAACAGACGTGAGTCAGAAGGCACATAGAAGCGTCTTGATTAAAATAAACTGGTAACAGGATAAAGTAAATATATTTATGCTTAAAGAAATAATTCTCAGGAACACTGGACAAGAATTTTAGATGGATTTTAAAAAAGAACCATAGATTTATAATGTAAAACAACAAGAGGGAAACCTTTTTCAGAGGGATGTGCACCACAGTGTTTTATCTCATACAACTGGGATCCATATGGGCCAAAATTATTTCTCTTTGATTTTAATATAGTTAAAAAGTCTTTCAGTTTCAAAGTTTCCCATATCAAAACATTTAAAGGCTGTTATTTTAACCTTGCCTTAAAAAAATTACTATGCTCAAAGTGCTTGCATTGTAAAGCCTATCTATCTATCTATATAGATAGATAGATAGATATAGATATAAATTTTTTATTTCTAAAAAAGTTATTCCATGTTTCTCACTGTCAGTTAGGGCTTAATCTGTTCTAAGTTCTCTTGTCTCTGCAATGCTTATTTTTTCTTTTTTCTTTTCACTGCTCTTTATCTTACAGTTTGGATAGAGACCACAAACCTTTTACAGACATCCCACTTACCAGATTTGTTTAAGCTATGAACTGTGATTTGGATTTCTTTTCTGAGGACAACTTCCTAGTTTACTGTCCACTTTAAGAAATCTTTCTTGTGTAATGTTTGCCACAGGCAGTTGAACATGAACTCTGCTTTTCTTCACATCTCAGTTTTCCTTCCTCTGTAAAACCTATATGGTGCAGACCTACTATTTAGCAAGTCAACCAGGAGCAACCCCACAACCCTGCTTGGCAGGCTAGAAAACAGGGAACCTCTAATACATTTAGCATCATGCTCAGTAGCTCTAGTGCACAAAGAATCACAGAATCTCCTTAGCTGGGAGAGACCCATCAGGATCATGGAGTCCAACTCCTGGCCCCACAGAGACACCCTAGCAATCCCACCCTCTGCCTGGGAGCGCTGTCTGAACACTCCTGGAGCTCTGGCAGCTGTGACCATTCCCTGGGGAGCCTGCCCGGTACCCAGTGCCCAACACAACAGCCTGCAAAAAGAAGAAAAGGGTTAAATTCTTTAAAGACAGCATCAGGAATATGTACAGAGTCAACCATAGGGATTGCCTTCTTAGTACACGCTCTAGTTGACATAGTAAAAATAACAAGTCCATGTATAACCTAAAGTAACACTTCAGTGCAGAGAAAGGCACTTTAAAAGGATGATGTGAGATTACCTTGGTTTTTGTCTTGTCTGCAAGTTCTTCAACCTCTTCCTTTTCTGCTATCTCACACCCATGGCAGGTGGTGTATTTCAAAAACTGTATTTCATAGTAAATGTTGAATAAATGGACTTTTTGTCTCAAGGGTGCATGTTCCTTCTTCTAGGACACAATGGTTGTTATCCATGAAGGTCTTTCTGCATCTGTCACCTTCAGAAATAGTTACCGTAATATTTGGGATCATCTGTGTGATAACATGCCATATCAAAAACCATTTTCTAGATTTGAGACCTTTTTGCTGCCTTTTTTGCTGCCTGAAAGAAGAGGGTTAAGATTCTTAGGATACTGCTGGAAATACTTCAAGATTCAGTCTAAATTGTGTTTTTAAAAAAGTTCTCTCTATTCTTCCAGTTCAGTCAGAAATTTAACAAAAAGTCTTTGGCAACTGTCTATTTCCAAATGGTTATTAAAAGTGAATTTTACTGAGGAACCATTTAGTAATAGAGGTAAGTAAAAACTATTCAACTAGACAACACCAGTTTCTGATAATCTTAAAATTTCAGACTATGACCTATTGAAGTTAAGGACAGACACTACAAAAATTCAGCCATTTATGGAAAAACAGCTTTTGTGAATCCCTTTTTGTGAAGAGGTGAAAGAACGAACAGTTAAGGATAGTTACTCTGTTAATAATTATGCAGTTTAAATCTGCCTGTTTCCATGTTATTGATATGGTTAAAGAACATGATGAAGCAGATGTACTCTAAACCTACTGCTTTGCCATTCACAAGCACACTGTTACACAGGATTTGTGACTTCAGCCACTAACACCCAATATTATTTTCCCTGAGACAAAACCCAAATCATATCCATGTTCATTGATGGTGCCATTTTAGCAATAACTCAGAATGTAGAATTTCTTTGTGCAACGTTCATATTGAACACTGTGCCTTGGCCTTTCCTGATTTTGTATATTTGTAATTAAACTAGTTGTTACAGGGTAGATCTTTGATTCATTATGCAGATTAAAAAAAAAAAAAGCAAGCTCATGAACTTAGGTGAAAGTCCAATTTCTTTGTTCTATGAGATAGCAAATTGCTCTTAGAGCTCATAGATTGTTAATAAAAGGTTATTGCATCAAGCCTCCAGTAATATAATTAGTGCATTGCATTGGACAGGGGCAATGTAGTGAATGGCATAACATTTTAGCATTGCCAGTAAATCCTCTTCTGATGATAGCGGGACTGAAGACCTCTGAAGTTTTGTATTGGATGGGGCTTTCCCCACTTACCTTCTAACTTGCTTTTAAAAAGACAAGCATAATGCCCTTGGTGAGCGATGACCACGATCTATCCTGGCTGCAGGGTAGACTGTACGCGTCAGCCTGCACATTCACACAGGCATTTCACTAGAACTGTGAATAACACTTGATTTGTGCATTACTGAAACATGGATTTATTCCTTTAAGGATTGAATTTATTGTAGATCTAACTCTTTCTATAAGTGTTCTTGTTTGCTAGCCAGGAAAAAGAGCAGCTGCTACTGCTGGAATCATTCATGAACCCATTCTAGCTGTCCTCTTCCCCCGGAGACAGTTATGCCAAATAAATGGTATTGTCTGGGGCAGCAGGCCTGCTTCTGGGTGCTATAGACAAGATTTTCCCAAGTCAAATAAGGATTGCTCTTGGCATGATGGTGGAAGGCAACATGCCCATCAGCAAAAGAAATCCAGCAGCCTTTCTCTCCCTATCAGTTTTTGTTTCATTTTCCTCTCTGTTTACAGCTCTTCCCAGCTCTTCATCTTCGTCTCAAATTAACTAGTACTTTGCCCACTATTTCTCTGTGGGAGGAAATTAATAAAATGCAATACAATCCAAACGTATTTAAAAGCATGAATGGAAATAGAATAAAGGATATTGCTAAACATAGCAATAGGACTGTCTATAATTTAGGTGCCACCTGTTTAGTTTCTAACCAGCCTGGCTGGTCTTACACATGTCCCAGTTCTGCCAGACCTATCAGGCATGGACACACTGAATTTTTATGTGTTGTAGCCCCATGTCAGGGTGGCTGGTTGTGTTTTCTTCCCTTTTTAAATTTTCTTTTTTTTTTTCCTTCCTTTTTCCTCTTTTAAAGAATAGCCACCCTGCTACTGTTGCACACCCCTTTATCTGACTTGCAAAGCATGATCTGTGGCACTCAGTGTGATACTGGGATTCAGGAAAGCCCTGCTGCAGACGGATGGCAGATGGACGTTGGATCAGTAAAATACTGAGACTTATGACTGCTGTGGTACAAGTCCAGACTCCTCAGTAATAATATGACCTGTCATCTTCAGGGCCTGCCTCAGAAACACAGTGTGAAGCCTCTGCCATGTTCTGTAGTGGCCAGGGACACTGAAAATCATCATTTGTTTATGACTGCTAATCTAAAACCCTTGATTATGTGAAGACTTGGCGTTTTAAGAATTTGGGAAGATTATCTCCTGATTTCCTACATCATGCAACATCTTCCCCTCAAGAGAAAATGCCTGCCAGTGTCTGTTACCTTTAAGAGGACAAAACTGAGGCCTCAATGCAATTAAAATGAATGGCAATTCTGTTGCTTGGCCGTTGAGGCAGCTGCGTCCAACATCCCCATTCCGCCGTGCCGTTCAGGCCCGCTGTACCTGGTCACGAGAGACGGGGGAATTAATTTACAGGGTTCAGGCAATAAAGAAAATGTGACACAGAAAACTCAAAGAAAACCGTATTGCAGTTTTCAGACTGAACGTGGAAGACGATTCGGACGTCCCCGAGGACGCTGCTCCGCGCACAAAAAGGAATTCCGTCACTCCCAGCAGGGTTTCTAAGCGCCCGCCCGCGGCCCGCCCGCGGCCCGCCCGCGGCCCGCCCGCGGCCCTCAGGGCTCCGCCCTCACCGCGCCCCTTCCGCGGGGCTGGCCTGCCCGGCCGCAGCTCTCGCGAGAGCTGGGAGTGGGCGAGCCTGGCAGCCGGGCGGTCTGGCGCCGCCGCCATTGTGTTGTGGGAGCGGCGCGAGCGGGCGGCCCGGTCCGGCCCGCGCGGCGGCCCGGCCGTGACGGTGAGTACGGACCGCCCGCGGCGGCCGGTGCGGCTCGGGCCGCGCCTGCTGCGGGGCCCCGCCCGCCCCAGCGGCCTCACGCCAGGGCCGGGGGAGCCATTTTGTGCCGTGCTGGGACCGATCCACCCACCCTTCTCTCCGCCATCGCCCCCAACGGCCGCTCGGCTCTGCGCCCGCTCGCCTAGCGAGGCCGTGTGACACCTGGTGCCCCCTGTTCCTGTCCGCCCTCCTCGCGGCCTCTGCCAGGCGTTTGGGCCGGATGCTGACTGGGCAGCGGGATCGGGTGCGGCCGCGGGCGCCGGCCGGGCCCGAGCTGTGCGGGCCGCTCCCCGGGGCCTGGCGGGGGAGGTGCGGTGCCCACGGCGGCTCTGCGGAGCGCCTGCTGGCTGCGGGAACAGCCCAGCATTAGGGCACCAGCCGCGGCAGCGTGGGCAACCATTTGTAAATATTCTTGCTCCTCATTTGGCTTCTGAGAGGCTTCTGAGTTATTTGTCAATTTCACTACACTGAAGGTTGAGAAAATACCCGTAAAGAAGAATTGCACAATCTGAAAGACTCGTGAGTACTGTCTTGTTTATCATAAAAACGTGACTGTGAGTAAGCCCCGAGGAAGACACACGAGCACAGGTTGCTCGGGAGAAAATCTTATGAATAGTTTTGTGTTAAACCACACAAAAGCATGTAGACATGAGAGCTCGAGTCTTAGAAGTGTCAGTGCAGTTCCAAGCTAGAAGAATGAATTTAGGAACAGGCAGTGAAGCTTATGCTTCCCTCTGATGGAGGGTACAAGATTGCTTAAAACTGGTGGTAATCATGGAAGCTGAAGGAATCGAGGCAATCGATTTAGTCTTTTGAGATTGCATTGCTTTCTCTCAGAGACCTCTTGGATCTTGTATTGCTTTGTTATCTCCATCCATGGCTGTATAAGGGCTAGTTCATATTTTGGAATGCTGTTGGAGGGGTGACAGATCAAGAAAGGCAGGACAGTTGATCTGTGTGCTGAAAATAGGCTGTGCAGCTCCACCTCCTTTTTGAAGTTGGTCATCTGTTTCTCAGGTATGACTTTAAGTTTTATTTCAGTAAGACTTAACATTTCATTCAGAACTTGTTTTTTGACCAAGTTTTGAGAGGTATTTGCGTATGTCCCTTATTTCAGGAGTCTCTAGAGTTGTTTCCAGATTTTTTTATGAGGTTTTTATTGCTAAGTAGTGTAACATGGCATAAGCTGATGAAATATGTTGCTTTGATGAGAAGAGTGCTGCTCATCTTGCTGTACACGTTCTCATTTCTCTGTTGTTGAGTATGAGCACGAATGGTCTTGAAATAATGGAGAAGTCAGAAGTATGTTTTCACTGGTTAATCTGTTGAGGATTCTCAATGAAGGACACATCAGGTGTGATATCCGAGTAAGGTGTTCCTTTACTTTTTGGCAACAACCAGTTTTTTAATCAGTTCAGACTACAACCTAATTTCTGTTACTATGATGATTATTATAATTTCCTTAGAGAAGGAATTTAAGTATTTTTTGGTCTCACTACCTTCTGTGTAAATTGAGGTGTCTACTTTGTCATTATAGAACTCACTACAGCATGTTAATTACAGCTTGGGGTTTGTTGAATTCCTGTGTGTGCAAACAAAATGCTTGAGCTTTTGAGTGTTTTTCTTCAGGAAGACCCTTAAGATGATGGTACTGTGAAAGGGAATCATTCTCATTCTGAAATATTGTGTACAAGACAATATTCCCCTTGCAGACAAATATAGTTGTGGCTTTAATATGTAGTTGTTTTTTAGCATGAGACCATTGTGTGGCTCTGTCCTGTGCTCTGTGATAGTTTAACATGCTCACCTTATTTATAACCACCTCATTGTGTTACCATGATAAGCATAAGCCTTGTATGTGTTTTGTTTTCAAGCCACCTATGAAGACAGTTGCATCTCAGACTTTCAAGGTACAGTGCTTAAATGGTATTCAGAGAACTCTGGGGAAAAAACACCAAAACCCAAAAGACATCTTACTAGCGTTGATCACCAGAGGTGAAATGCCTAGATCTAGTTTTGTCTATCTAGTAAATGGACATCATAGGTCCATTGACTTCAGCTTCATCTCTGTCCATCTGAGTAAAACTATGAGGAAAGGCTGAAATAATTTGGGCTGTTTGGCCTGGAGAGGAGAAGCCTCTGGGGAAACCTCATTGCAGCCTTTCAGTACTTAAAAAGAGTTCATAAGAAAGATGGGGACAGACATTTAGTACAGCCTGTTGTGATAGCACAAGGAATAAATTTAAGGAAGGCATTTTTTATGATGAGCGTAGTGAACCATGGGCCCAGAGGGGTGGTGGATGTTCTGTGCCTGGAAACATGCAGGGTTCAGGTGGGATGGGACTCTGAGCCATCTGCTCTCATTGATGTCCCTGCTCGTTGCAGGGTGATTGGACTAGATGACCTTTAAAGATCCTTTCCAGTTCAAGCTATTCTATGATGTCTACTAGTTGGATTGCAAGTAAATTTTATAATGGATGCCCAGAAATTGAAGAGCTCTGGAGCAGCAGATTTTAAAAAATGACTCATCTTAATGGTATGCTTTGTGTCACTGCATCTTTATTGAAAGGTAAAATCCTATTTCCTTGATCAGAATTTCTTTGCCTAGATCATAAGGCTTTTTATTTAGCATCTTTTCACTTCTGCATCAGACACGGCAGATGTCAAATGCCTGTTCTTACATGACTGATTGATCTTTATAGCAGATCCTTCTCATTTGCTGGCTGAAGCAAAGACTGCAGAAAAAAATGTAAGGTTGTATGCAGGAAATTAATCATAGTGTATATACGTAAACTAACACATTAAATTTTGCCTTTTCTATTGTGCTGCCTTAACGTGGTTTGAACACCTTTTTTTGAGTATAGATTCTGGAAGATTTATTCACTTGTACGAAAAAAATACTCTGTAGATAGTATTATCCTGACATACTTGGATTGAAATCACAACCTGTGCTAATTTACAAGATTAGGCTGATGGCCAATGTTATCTGTCCTCTTGGGGCTACGACTGAAGGAGAAAATTAGTCTTGTGCCTATTTATGTGTATCTGTAGGAGCAATTTGCTAATTTTGGACTCCATTTCATCTTCTTCAGGTAATTGGCTCTGGTGTCCACTCTTCCACCCTGTCCTGTTCTGTGTGAATGCTCTTATTTTTTTCTGTTCTGTGGATGGTGCATAACCAATTTTATTAGTATTAGATGATTTATAATTTAGTCTTTGAAGTTGTCTTGTACTTCTGTCTTCTTTGCTGATTAATTTGGACATTAATTCCTACTAGTAGGAACTTTCACCCCTTCTTGAACCTCTGCATTTTCTATGTGTCCATGTCTTTCACCTATGCTGTTTAATTCATCTGGTTCCACACCTGTCTGAAACAAAGTGATTCAGAAACAGAATGGTCCATAATAGAGGAGATAATACCAGCACTCTTTGTCAAGTACTTAATAGTACAGAATTGGATCCATTATTCTGTGTGCTTGTTCCTTGTATTTTATATCAGGGTAAAACATAGACAAGCAGTGCTTTGAGTGTCGGATCTCGTCAAGGCATAAGGCTGTCCTGTCCAGCCTACACTCTAGTCTATATTATTGTGATATTATTTTAACTTCACAGTTTACAACTTTGATACTTAGTTGTTAACACTTATTGCAGCTTCATACAAGTACTAAACTTGTAGAGCACATTATAGCAGTTTATTCTGAAGGTCAAATTAACTGTCATTACAGTTTAGAAATAAATGATTGTTACATTTTATTGAACTAACGATCCACTTGAAGTGGTGTCGTTTAGATAATTAGGCTTGTCCTCAATTTCTTTTAAATTTCTACAGTTAACTGTTCTTTTGAACTCTGGACTGCTGCTTAGATAATTCTTATGGATACAGATGTGTTTACAATGTGAGTGTTGCATAAATTGCTGAATATTTACCAAAGGTATTAAATGTGATCTGGAAGATTAATTAATTAATTCAGTATATTAATGCAAAGTTGGACAAGTCAGCATTTCAGATTCCTAACCAGATCTTGTTTACCTGGTGATGGCTTTTGCAAACACAAATGGGTTACTAGTGTTGGAAGTGTGGTCTAGAAGCAGGTGTCCTCTGTAATACAAACCAGTAGCTCTTCTGCGCACAAAGGTAAACAATCACTTAAGCTTGCTATACTTGAAAGTCCTACTTGCACGATTAAGTATTTTGTCTACTTTGTGTTTTGGCTGCTGTTGTAAAGCTAGCTAACAACTGAACATGCATGAAAAAAGTGGTTAAGGAAACTAACCTCAGCTGTCCCAACTGTTAGAGAAGTCAGTGAACTTCTCTACAAACTAACTGTCTTTTACCAAGTATAATATGTAATTCAGCATGACTTGAGCAAAGATGAAAAGTTGTGAGTATGTGGACTCACCTTGAAACTGCAGCCAGATGTGAAGTGTTTCAGGGTTGATGTAGCAGAGTTTTGCTGAGCGTGGTACTGATGAGCATGATTGAATTGTGGAAAAAATGTGCTTTGTTGCTGGATAGGGTTTTTTTTATCTGTATAGTTTACTCTTATTCTCAGAAGGCTGGGCCAGAATTAGAAATGGTTAAATAGACTGCAACACTTTGGCAAATCACTCTGTATCAGTGGGAGTCTCAGCCATCCTTTTGAGTTGTTATGTGTCATGCTACTCTTCCGTACTGCACCGTTGAGGATACTGTAGTTTCCTTAAATTTTTTTAAGAGCTACGGTTTGTGGTCTATTTCTGTCTGTACTGTCCTGAGAAGGAAGAATCTAACTGTCTGGAGTTCTAGGTAAACGTTAAATCAGGTACCATTTCAAGGACAGGGATATGTATAGGAGCGCTTCTCATGTGGAAAAGGCACCAGCATTTCTTTTGAAATTCCTAGGAATAGCAGAAGGCAGATAAACACTCAGCAAGTGAGAAGTGAATTTATGAATACTGTTGTGAGATACCCTGAGTTCCTTTGCATATGTTAGCTTCCATGGGAGTTGTCTTTGGAGAAGCTGAAGGCAGATAGGCTGCAGATGTGTTTTTTCACAGGAGGGTGAAGTTTCACAATTTCAACCCTGAGGAATAAGTCTGAATATAATTTCTGCAAGTGATGGATGGGGATGCAGTTCATTAGCAAAAACACAGTATATGAATTTAAGAAATCTGAGTAATCTGTTCCTGACTCATTTTGCATTGGTATGAGTACTGTGTGGTTCTTAAGGGAATACCTCTTACATTTATAATTGCAAGAATATATCGTACCAAATCATAAAAGGGACTGTAGTTTTCTAATGAGGGATGGGAGGAGATGTAAAGAGGTTAGAAAAAATAGGATAAGAACTTGTTTCCTCATTTTGCTGATGCACAGTCAGACCAAAGCACTGTGTAAATATTTGTCTGTGTGAATCATATTTATGTTACACCCAGAATGACCTGTGCCTATTACGCATGAGTTCCCTGCATCTGTGAGAAAAAATGATCAGTATGTCCTTGTACAGGATACAAAGAATGGAGTCAAAACCCTCAAGAATTCCTCGCAGGATATCTCTTCAGGCTTCCAACTCTCCTCTAGGATCCAGAACTGGAAACGGTTTATCTGGTGCATATAGTACAAGAGAATCTTCATGGAGATTAGAATCTGGATACCAGGTAATGTATTTTTATTGTTTTTATAAAATATAAGTAATTTTAAATGTGTCTTTTTACCAAGAAAAGCCCCAAAACTCAGACAAAATTGTTAAAATGCAAGAATTTACTAACCAAGCCATTGACAGTAATCAGTGAACTGGTAGTTCTAGATTTTCTGGTTTTACCTGTTCTTGTTTGTAGCTGCACCTTTAGAAATCAGCTGTTTAATGAATGAGAGGGCATCCTGATAATATGGATCTATTTTTTTATGAGTCACTGCCATCTTAAACCTGGATAAATGGGGTTTTCTGTTGAGGGAAAGGTGAGGGTTTTGTTTGAACTTTGACATGTGTAGGGCAAGACGCTTGATGTGTTGGTGATGCAAAAAGTACAGGACTATGTTGTCAGTTAACAAGGCTGTACCATTCTGCAGCATCTCTTGTGTCTATATTTTGAAAAGGTAAGAAGAGGAACTTTAGACTCTGTCGTGGTTTGACACTGGCCAAATTCCAGGCATCCACAACAGTCGCTCACTCGTTCTCCCCTGCTGCAGCTGGGCACAGGAGGGAAAAACTTAATGAAGGCTTCATGAGTTCAGATAAGGACTGGGAGAAAATACTCCAAGGGCAAAACAGGCTTAAATTTAAGGTACAAAGTGGATTTACTGCTAGCAAAATCAGAGGAGGATAAAGAGAAGTAAAATAAGCCCTGAAAAACACCTTTTCTTTTCCCAACCCCTCTTTTCTTCCCTATGACAGTGCAGGGAGACAGAGCATGGGGGTTTTGGTCAATTTGTTGCCTGAGCTTTTCTTCCGCTTGGCTTAGAGTCCTTCCCCTCTGAGGCCATGGGGTCCCTCCCATGGGAGACAGTTCCCCATGAACTTCTGCAGTGTGGGTCCACTCTCACGAGCAACAGTCCTCCCAAAACTGCTGTGGTGTGGGTCACTCTTCCACAGAATGAGGTCCTCCAAGGACAGGCTGCTCCAGCCTGGGAGCAGGGGCCCTCTCTCTCCACTGGGTCTCCCACTGGATCACAGCCTCCTCCAGGAATTCATTTGCTCCAGTGTGAGCACCTCCTCCACAGACTGCAGGTGGATCTTTGCATCCCTCATGGACCCACGGGCTGCAGTGGCACAGCTGCTTTATCAGTGGTCTTCCCCAGGGCCTGCAGAAGTCTTGGCTCTGGCGCCTGGAGCACCTCGTCCCCTTCCTTCTCCCCTGTCCTTGGTGTCAATGTGTTGTTTTCCCTCACACGTTCTCACCTCCTATTCTGTTGTGCCTTGAATTAAATCTGCATCTCTACTTTTGTTTTGATTTCTTCTGAAATCTGTTATCACAGAGGTGTGTTAGCATCATCTGTAATTGGCCTAGCATTTGCCAGCAGCACATCCATCTTCAGAGCCATCAGGAAGTGGCTTTGCCAAACAAGGTGGACACTTCCAGCAGCTAATCACAGAAGCCACCTCTGTGGCCCCCCAGCCACCAAAAACCAGGCTGTGCAAAACCAACACAGACTCACATTAGCCTGTCATGTCTGTACGTTAGGACAGCTGGGCTTTGTGTGCACTACATGGGACTGAAAAAAAGGCCTTTTGCTATTTCACAAACAGCATTTTACACTAACCGAACTATGTTTGTGGGGAAGGAGAGCTGTGCTCAAGAGGAAGTATTCACACTGTTCAGGTACTTGCAGTTTGGGAGAGTATTATGGGAAGCAGATATTAAACTACTGTAGAAATTATTTTTCACACTTGGAAGCAACAGATAGCAGTTTGGCTCAATTATCTTAGTGCTTTTTTTCTGCTCCTGTCAGCAATTCCCTCCTCAGTTTTTGGCCCAGAAATGTAATCCCATTTTGGTCTTTGAAATGGCAGAAATTTAACTCTGGGATTAAATGTTCATCTTTTAAAAAAAAAAAAAATGGTTGAGAGTTTGGTCCCTGCTGACAAGCTGTCTGGGGTGTTGTATTATATAACACCTTTTTGAGAAACAGTTCTAGAAGTAATGGAACATTATTTTTAGCACAGTTAAATGTATGTGTGTTATGTTTTTGTTACCTCTAACATGCATGTGCTTGTTATTATATAGGCTATAGAGAATGTACAAGGGGAAGCAGTTGTCAGTCATTTTTATGTTTTGGAGTCCTACATGTGTTTCGCTGTCTGGCTGCTCAGCAAAAGCAAATCAGAAAGTCTTACTCTTTTGTGGAGATTTATGGACATAGTCCACACACAGTGTGTGTATACTGAAAGCCATTGATCAGAAGAGAAGTCTTCAGCTGACCTGGTGCTGTGAAATTTGATCTGTTACTGCTGTAAAAGGATTTTGACACAATGTACCTTTCATTATTTCATTTATTACATGAACTGCAATGTGCTCACTGCACTGTGTGTTCTTTTGACTATTTCCTGTTAAGCAAAGAGATTCTGCACTGAGGAATGATCTCATAACACTTGCCAGTTAAAACAGAAGGGAAAATATTTGTATAGAAGTTTGTGTTGTACCCCTTTTTTCCACTCCCAGTTTGTAGAAGGTAGTCTGAGAGCACATTATACAAGACTTTTGCTTAGTGATAAAACCATAGGGAAGCTCTCCCTCTTGACTAACCTTTGGTGCTTACAGAGCTGGTAGGAACAAATTGCATTATTCCTTGCAGATTAAGATTACAGAGACAGAAGCAAGAAGGTTTAAGTCCAGTCAGATAGGAATGCAAAGGACTACAGGTGTTTTCACTTCGTTAATCCATTCAGAAACGTACCTTAAAGTATTTAAGATTTAGTTCAGTTACAAATAATTAAAAATTTGTCATTTAGAAGAAAAAATTTGACTATCAGTAATTCTTTGGGTATAAACAGGACTTGGATTTTTAATACAGAATTTCTATAAAGAGAACACTTGATTATAGGTTAACTCAAAAACTTTTGGGACAGATCAGTCATATTTGTGTTTGGTTTTGATTAGAGATAACAAATAAGAAAGGTTTCTGTTGGGTGGGTTTGTTGTCCTTTTTTTTTCATACAGGTATGGAATTCTCATACGTCATGCACTTTTGAGATCCATCTGGGTATTAGCCTCTGCTTATCTGAGGAGGCATAACAAAGAGGTTAATTGTAAACTAATCAGATGTGTCGGGATATAGTGTTGTTGCTAGGTAACTTTAAAATACAAAAATCAGTGTCACGATATGAGAAAAAAATTCCCATCCTTTATAATACAACACAGTAAACATTTTATGACAAATGAATTATGAGTTTTGGGGTTTTTTTCAGTGGAGGCATAGGGTCAAGAGTAGTTTATAAAATTGTTTTGAATGTTTTCCTGATCACATTTTTCAGCTACTGAAAATAGAGACCATAACCAGAATACCTTATGTAGGGCTTTATTGTCAAGTTCTGACAAGGGATGTTAAGTAGTCTTAGGCTGAACTGAAGGAAAAAAACAAGCTGAGATTTTTGTATTCTATTGGTTGGTTTTGAATGCTTCGTTGTTGCTTTTAAGAAATGGTGATGGCAACTGCTGTGTTTGTTTGTAGTATTAATAGTTTATAGAAAGAGAATGGACAAATAATCACTTAAAAATGCTGCTTAGTGTTAATAAAATGGTTGCATTTCTGTTATTGCTATTCGTTTTGCTAATCTCCATGATTATTCTATGGAGCAAATTAAATTGCAGTCTCTTTCCTCAGTTATAATCTATTAATTGAAATTCAGCTTGCTTTAGTGGCCAAAGAGGTGTTTTTGTTGTCATGGAGACCCTTTCTACACCTGTAGGGGTTTTTGCATAACACTTAAAAATGAGGCCCTTAATTCTGCCCTGTTGCTGCAGCGACAAAGGCCTTACACTTCAACTTTTTATTGTCCTAGGTCAAAACAGAGGAGAGATGAAGGAGCTGCTATAAAGTACTTAAAAAAACCAAAAACAAACAACAAAAATCTCCTTTTGCCAGTGGTTCTCTCTAAGCCTGTTTCATTTGTTGGCTATCCCTCAAGGTTTCTTATTAAATGTTTCCAGATTTGTTACTGATTCCACTTCCCTGTATTTTCAATATTCAGATCAGATACTGAGTTATTTCTGAGTTACAAGATGCATATGATAATCATGTTGTTCTTCAGGAATCCCGTGTATTGAATAGTTCCAGTAGAGACTGGAGTATTGGAGAAAGGGACAGCCGTGAAACTCCTTGGAAGCTTACAGCGTCATCTCCACCTCGCTACTCAGGGACCATTGATCACCCTCATTCTGGAAGATTTTTGGGAGGCAGAAGCAGATTGGTGAGAACTGTTAATGTGTGATACTTGGGAAAAAATATTGAAACCCCAGGGTTTTACTTTAGTCTTCCCAATCTGAAAAGTTGCCAGCAGGTCCTCTCTATAATGTTTCTAGATAAGTAAATCTTACTAATTCAAGATGGAGCAAAAGCTAGAAGATAACAGTGTTAGAAAACATTCAGAGGATGAAAATAGCATTGTCTGTTAGTTTTACTAAGAGTTAAGAAATACATTTGAAGTTAGTAAAAAGAAAAAGGGAGGGAGTGATTAGAATCTCAGGACATGTTATAGTCCTGTTGGTGGCAAAGTTGCTATTATTTATACTTGTTCCCTCGGGTATTTCCAGGGCGGTGTTTTTTGGATGCTACTAGCTTTGTGAGTTAAGACGAAGTTCATGCGTTTGGAGACCTGCTTTAGGAAATTTAATTGGGAGATCTAGTTTATAGTCTGCTTGTTCTTACTTAAATGCTGCTTAGATCATAATGTGAAAGAATAGTTACTTGAGATTCAAGACTCAGGCCCAAATAGTTTGTCTTAACTATGTTCTAGAATTTGCTTTTTTAGCTCCCAAGAATAAAGTCATTTGCTTGTGACATGCTTATGTATTGTACAGTGACAGTAAAACACTGACAGTAAAGCACAGTAGAACTATTAAGATAGGAAAAGCAGAAAACTTTGAGCAAGTTAGATGGGACGATAGCGAAATAAAAATTCTGCGCACTTTCAAAGTGAAAAGGTTTTGGGTTCGTAACAGTGCTCGCATTGTTAAAGAGGTGTTGGTTTTCTTAGGTGACTTGAAGGTGAAGACACTGAGATATCAGGGGGTGAAGAGGGAAGAACAAGTGTGCACGTGTTGGCCTTCAGGGGAAATCATGGTAGATGGCTACATACAGTTTAAATGCAAATGGAATCTGTGGTTCTAAGTGGTCTACCTATCTAGTTAAATTAGTGCTGTAGTTTTCCAGGTGAAAACCCTTTTTTTTTCCCCATTAAGGTTAATTATTCTTTTAAAGTAAATTCTAATGCAAGTAAGTCTTGTGGAAGACACTCTGAAAATTCCACATATCAAGTCGTAAATGATTAAAAGATAAGTTAAATAGAAGATAAATAAGGGAAAGTAACCTGGCTTTGTACTTGGTTTCTGATGTTAGCTTGTCTCCCCTATCTGTTTTTTTATGATGTGATAAGGGAAATACTTAAGAGACTTCTTAGTTTGAAAGAGTAAGAAGTTGTGGCTTAAACTTAGTAAAAACCATAACTAAGTAGAAATAAAACACAGATATAACATATTCTAATTTTGTTGATCTTTAAAAGATCTTGGTTGTTGATAGTTTCTGGGAAGACAAAAAGCTCAATTCAATTCAGCTGTTTGACTGAGCTCAACTTTTTCTTTTTTATATGAAAAAATAAACTCGATGTATTTCAAATAGAAAATGCATGCCTTGACTGTAAGTAACCATATGAGCAGCTTTGTAGGCTATTTCGATTTTTTTTTCCCTAAGTCCTATAGTGCTAGCTTTTGAAAACTGTTTTATTCCAGTGCTGTAAACTGGAAAAATTGGTTTGTACCTGTTCCTTACTCTGAATTCCTTCAGTTGCACTTGAACTTATTGTAATCAAAATATACTTGTTTTAAACAGTTTTCCTGAAGCTTACTCCTTAGCTAATTATATTTTAGCTTGATAACAAATAAGTTGGATTAGTTAAACTGTTAAATAAAATAACGTAACTCTTCAGCTTTGGCCATTTCTAGAGAGCAAAGGATCTATAAAGCTATATTTGATTGTATTTATAGCATCTTACAGGCCAGGCATATGGGTTGTTTTCCCCTTTTTACAGCAATTTTTGGTTGAAAGCCAAATCTATCTGTAAAGGAAATACGATGTTGAATGTTATAGAAAGTGACTTCTGTTGGTAGGACTGTATTGGGTAAAGCTGGAAATACTAATTGAGCACAAGTATAATTCCTATGTTATTTTTTGAAAAAAGGTTTTGTATCTAAAGTTATTCTTTACAATTTTTGTGAGTTTTACATCGCATGCACTTTTGTGCAGTGTAACTGTTATACTATGTAATTTATTTTTTAATGTTATTTCAGTCTACATCTTCTTCCTCTCATTTCACATCTGGGTGTTATGGTGAGTCTGAGAGAACTCAGGGAGCATATTCAAGACTGCATAGCCAGCAGCAAGATAGTGATTCAAAGAGACCTAAACTATCTTGTACATCTACCTCTTCTGTGAGAAGTAATGGCTTGGCTGCCTTTTCAGGTGAGTTACATCCAAATTGTCTGAGTAGTAAGATCAGGTTTTATCAAGTTTTAAAATACTTGCTTCAAATATTACGCTTTTTATCTTTCTTAAGTAATAAAAATTTATTCCTGTCTGAAGAGTATGTTCACAATGATAGCAGTATCCAAAGTTCCAAGTGTGCTGTTAACATGGTTTTTTGAAAATCCAGTTGTACTCATATAATTTCAGAATTATTACCTGTACCTATTCCATCTGTGGTCAAGCTGAACTTCATGGCTCAAACGTACCTTAATTGGTTAAGATTTCATGAGTGCAGCTGCTCTTATTTCATGAGTCGAATGGTGTTGATACACCAGTGTGTGCCAGGGACAGCAGAAAGGAAATCTTTACCATACTTAGCAATATGTTCTAGCACAGTGTCATGCCTGGTTAGGGCACTATTGTTAGGGGTCGGGGAGGAAAGTGTTCCTTTTTTAGCAGGGCCTGAATTAATTCTCTAGGTCCTGGCTAAAGAAACATTCTACACTAAGATCTTTTTCAGGAAGACCTGAGATTTTCCTTAAAAGCTGTAAGTTTGTGAAACTTGGGTAGACAGAATTTATGCAGTATGCCCACAGAAGTCTAAAGCTCAGGAAGTAATGGTCAAAACCTTACACTGAAAATATTACTAAAAAAAAGTAATATGATACAGATCATAAGATTAATTCAGATTGCCCTTGTGAGTATGAATTAATGGGTTTTTCAAATAAAAATTAATCAATTCCTGCTCAAACCTCAGTATTATTGATACTTTCTTACTGTGTTAATAAAATGGCAACCATTAACATTTCTCATTATGGTGTAGGACTGTTTATCTTTCCATTTCTACATTGGTTAGTCCTCGCACTGCTGACCAATGAGTGCTTAAATTTGATTTTCTAAGTTAGCAATGAAACGATTTCAAGGTGAGTTTTTCAGAGCCATTGAAGACAACTCTTTTGGAACAAGACTTTTTGTCCACAGCTGACGTATCTACAGTTCACTATGCAGTTGTTTGAGTTAACAAAAAACAAGATCTCTTTTTACACTGAAGTGTTTCACTCTGTAATATAAACAAGGACGGTGTTAGTCATTGTTCTTAAAGTTGTGTCTAAACTGCATTTAAGCTTCATCAGCTGTTTTTATGAGAAATGGAAATTTAACTTAAGTAGTGTCAAGTAGAATGGCAGCGTTTACTAAGTCTCAAGCTGCTGTTTTGCTACAGTGTGAAACCTTTTTAAAAACTAGCTACCATTAGGAAGCAAGATGCTACTTCTCTTCCTCTTCCATCCTGTAAGAGTGTTAATGGGTCTGACTCTTCACAAAAGTATTACGACGTTTTGTTTGATTTAGCTTTTAGAACTAATTTGCTGCAAGATGAAGTGAGTGCAGTGTCAGCAGAGTGCACTTAGCCATATGTTGGCAGCTGGTTCCTTGGTCAGCCTAGTGGTAATGTTACACTTGCCCTTGATGTGAACAACAAAAATGTCTGCATAAGTGCCAGTTTTAATGTATTTTTAGATTATTACAAAAACAGGGGGTTTATTTACTTTTTTTTTTCTAGATTCCTCATGGAGATGCAGTAGGATTCCTAGATCTTCATCGGTAATGCTTGGCTCCCTTGGAACTGATGTGATGAGAGAGCGAACGCAGTCAGAAAGAACAGATCTGTCTGTTAATAATCTGGTGGATCCCGGCTACAGAAACAGTGACTTTTCACCTTCGACATGTATGTTTTGTGTAACCAAAAGCTCATAAACCTACAGTTTGTATGGCTTTTAGTTTCTTAACACATTCATAGGATCACAGAATGATTTGGTTTGAAGGAGACCTCTTGTTCCACCCCCTGCCATGGGCAGGGACACCTTCCACTATCCCAGGTTGCTCCAGGCCCAATCCAACCTGGCCTTGAACACTTCCAGGGATGGAGCCTCCAAAACTTCACTGGGCATGTTCTTTTAATATTTTATTCAAAACACTAACACAAAATATATTTGAAAGTATCCTTTCAGATAAAGTTGGTTGGCCACTTTCCATGCATTGACCAAACCATCAAAGGGTCTGTGAATGATTTAGCTTGTAGATGCATTCAGTCATGTGAAAGTGGTGGTGGTGGTGGCCACTCTAACTCTGTGATTACTCAGTAAAGCTCTTCTCTTGTTTGTCTTAAAATCTCTTTGTATTTAGGTATGGGAAGAGAAATAATGTTGATTTGACCCAGGAAAGTTTTTTTCTTAAAGGTGCTGCATATTATCTCCTTTTGTTTGGGTTCTCTAATGGTTTTTAGGGAAAAATGCTAGACCACTGAAAATAAAAATTAATAAACACACACTTAACATGAGGTGAGAGGTTTGTCTCATGGCAACTAGTAGGACTAGTAAGGACTTCTGCACTGTAATTTTCATTTTCTGTTCAGAGTGCTGTGACCTTCTAGAGCTGTCTCAAGGGAAGCTCACCATTAGTCCTGATCTGCAGTGTTTTGCAGATGCATTAGTGGTATTTTGTAATGCAGAAGTTTAAAAAAAAACCCCACGTTTCTAAGTAGAGAAGATAAGCAGAAAAGATAGAAACTACTTTCAGAATTTGCCCTGTAGTCTTGCCATGACAGAAGAATATATTTTAATGTCATCATACTCCTAGCACTTTTTAGTAAGTGCACAGTTCAACTACTCTGCCTGGTAGAGCCTAATGGGAGAAGTGGATTGGTGAGCAACCTTGCTTTGTACTGTCTATGCTGCATTTCTAGCAGTAGTGCTGCTATTAAGTGCTATAAAATTAACTCCTCATCTGTGTTCCCTGATGTGTAATTGTAAGTATATGATAGATGATTGGCATCTGTGCAGATGTTTTGTTAGCTGGAATCTGCTAGGTAAGTAAAGCTCATCTTCAGCAGTAAATGGTGATTGCAATGCAGAACCCATTAAAAGCAAGTCACCAGAACTACAAAGACGAAAGTTTTAAAATTGAGAATACATAGAGAGCTTCTGTTTCCTACCTTCATCTATCCATGCTTGTTCCTCCTTCCCCCTTTTCCCACCCACAACCCTCCACTGCAGCCGTTTGAGGAAGGAGACTAGCCACCTCAGCTGCTTCATGTGAACTACAGTTCATCTACAATGGAATTCTTCTCAGTGTGTTGAGATACTCAGACAGCATTTACAGAAGATATGCTTGTAAGAATGATAGGATGGTTTGGGTTGGAAGGGACCTTTAAAGGCCCCCTAGTCCAGTCCCCCTTCAGTGAGCAGGGACATCTTCAGCTAGGACAAGTTGCCTAGAGCCCTGTTGAACCTGACCTTGAATGTTTCCTGATGTGTTTGAGCACATCTTGTCATAGTATTTTCCTCTACTTTTCTGCAATAGATCTTCAAGACAGGCCTGCCTCTTCATATGCAGAGGGAGCAAGACCAAAAGAGAACTCATTGAGCACTTTGAGGCTGAATGCACCCGTGAACCGCCAGTTGCCTTCTGATCATCAGCCATCTTTTTTCAACAGAGACTCTAACATGAGCTCTTCAAGATCCAGCTATTCTTCAAGACAAAGGAGAAATGAATTGGAATCTCCCCAGAGGAGTGTGCAGCCAGCATTTTCTCTTACTGCCATTAGAGATGAAACCCCTTCCTCGAGTGGTTCCGAAAGGGTTTTATCTACTCAGAGGTCACTGAATGAGTCTGCAGCTGACAGTGAAGGGAGGCGCACAACCAGACAGCTGCTGTCTCGTTTAGCATCTAGTATGTCATCTACATTTTTCTCTCGAAGGTCTAGCCAAGACCCATTGCCTACAAGATCTTTAGGTTCTGAAGAGTCAATGGTTGTCCCAAGAGTTCAAGCTACTACTCTGTCAGGTAGTAATGGAGCTGCAACTCCGGAAGTTCCAGGACTTCAGTCATCCGAAGCTTCTCAGGGGTTTAGTTTTCTTGGACGAAGATGGGGTTTATCAGGAGTTTCACAGAATCGCAACTCTGATTCTGATGGGGAAAGTTACAGATCAGACACTGAAAGTAGGAGCACAGGATCCTGGCTGTCATCCTCTTTGAGGAATAGATGTACACCTCTCTTTTCCAGAAGAAGAAGAGAAGGGAGAGATGAATCCGCAAGGATCTCTACCTCTGATACAACTGCTAGATCACAACATGTCTTTAGAAGGAGAGAGTCAGGTGAGGAGACCTCTCTTGAAGCATCACATAACCCTCCACGGGCTTCTGTTAGCAGACCAACACCTGCAGTATCTGTTATTTCTACAGCTACTTCCTCCCCACCAGATTCAGCCCCCAGTGGAAGAAGTTCAGGAATTCTGCCTGGTTCTCTCTTTCGCTTTGCAGTGCCTCCAACATTAGGAAGCAGCCTGTCTGATAATCTTATGATAACCGTAGATATTATTCCCTCTGGCTGGAATCAGTCTGATGGACAAGAAAGTGGAGAGTCTAAAATACCACCTTCAAGAGACCCGGAAAGACTCCAGAAAATTAAAGAAAGGTAAGGTTGCATGTTCTTTTGCAGTAGTAAAATGTACATGTTTTAACCTGAGAGGGCTTTCTGCAGTCATGACTTTAAAAGAAAACTTTCCTTTAGATGAGGTGGCATCTGAGTCCCCTGTCACCTATATTCTTACTTTTGTCTTTAAAGAAACTTGGTTTAATTCTCATAGGTTTGAGAATAGTTTGATAAGTGCAATTTTCCTTATAAAAAGTTCTACATGAAATGTCACAGCTTTTGTTGGTATTCCATCCTATTCAGCCTGCTTTTAGAAGATTCTGAAGACGAAGAGGGTGACTTATGCAGAATCTGTCAGATGTCCTCTGCGAGTTCTGACAACCTTTTAATAGAGCCATGCAAATGCACTGGAAGTCTGAAATATGTTCACCAGGAGTGCATGAAAAAATGGCTGCAGTCAAAGATAAATTCAGGTAAAGCAAACTCTAGACCAAGGTAGACTTCCAGTTACACAGGGAGGCTTATCAGAAGGATCACACTTACTGAGGTATTTGGTTGAAAAGTGGGGACAAACAGTAAGTAGTGTGGCACTTCCAGGCTTTTTGTGTCTGTGCAGTTTCTCATGTGAGTAGTTCCAAAAACTGTATTTCTTGTTTAGAGAACTACATTTTTTGGGGTTGTCTACTAAGGTGTTAGATAAAAGACAACATAGCAGAAGTGTAGCTTTAGAATTGCTCTGCCACTTTTCAGTCATACCACTTTGGGTGGCATTTGTTCCCCAGTCTTCCCTATGGAAATGGTTGTGCTTTTTTTCAAGACTTCTGCAGCCAAACTTACTGTTAGCAGTGATAGGAATTTGAAAATGCAAAATTGATTTCAAATTGTAACTCAAGTATGTTAAATTTTTTTTGAGATACTAACTCCTATTCAGAGCACTTTAAAATTGCTTGTTCAAAAATTATTTCAAAGTGCATATAAAATTCTTTAAGAATTTCTTTAAGAAACACTTCAAATACTGCATGCTGTAGAAATATTTTTGTAACAGATTGATTGACTGGTTTGTAAGTATCATCTACAATATTCTTAAAAATAGGTGGCTTGATCAAAGACATTAAATACTTTGTACCAAAGGAAGGTGCTAGTATCTGACATTTTTTACTGGGCACCAGAGGATACACATCAGAGTAGGGATGTTTTAGAAGCCTCAGCCAGTAGAAGAAGTTAATTTGAATTATTTAACTATATATAAAGATATAAGTTCACTATCAACTTGTTTTGTTCATCTTGTTGCTTCTAGAGGGGTCTGTTTTAAAACTGGTACTTAAGACAAAATGCTTCTTAACAATAACTTTATTCTTGTATATTCTTACTTTTGTGTGTATTTGGATTACATGGTACAATTCAGAAAGCCCAAGAAGCGATTTTATGCCAGATTTGCAGGAAGAGGCATCTTATGTCCAGAGTGAGGCAAAATAGGTGCAGCTGGATAGAGAGTAAACATTCTACAGTGTTTAAATTCTGACAGTAGCAGATGTCACTACATTCCTATTAGAGGCTTTCTTTTCTTCTAACCTTGCTCTGCAAAATAAAGCCATTAATTATGTAGAGTTTTTAATGTTTATATGAGTGTGTCGTATGTTATAGATTGTTGAAACTTGACACTGAGTTTTTGCCTTGCCCGCCTCCCCACCAGGTTCTTCTTTGGAAGCAGTGACAACTTGTGAATTGTGCAAGGAGAAGTTGAATCTTAATCTGGAAGACTTTGACATTCATGAACTCTATAGGGCACATGCAAATGAACAAGTTAGTATATTTTACCTTATTTGGTAAGTGTTATTTTAGTGCTGGGAGGGCAGTCTTTGGAGAAGCCAAATGCATCTCCGTTTCAGAAGGACTGTTATGCATATAAAGTAATGTTAATGTGGAACAGATTTTTCTCCTCAATATTCTGACTACCACTGCCTTCCTGTTATGCTTCCTAGAGCTGAGCCTTCAGTAAGGGTAATATATCTCTTTGCATATCTGTCATCTTTTAGCTTTGTAATCCAGTGTCTCTGCCACTGCATACTGGTGCAGTATGAATTCTAGCATGATTAGGTTGAATTTCACATTAAGTCAGGAGTTGCCATCAGTTTTAGCAGTTTTTGAACACAGTTTAGCAGTTGTTTTATATACACAGTTACAAACTTCTTTTGTTTCATTAGAGTGGTAGAAACTAGCCACTGCTGTAGCAGTTTCTAACTGCTCCTTCAAATAATTTCCTAACGTAAAAATAGTCAAAGGCCCATTGGTATTACTCTTGTTATTTCAGATAGAATATCTTAGAACTACTGGATTGCGTGGTATTTAAAAATGAGTGAATAAGACGAAGCTGGTGTTTTTAATAAACTTTACTCGGAGTGTTTTCCCCTGATCTCTGGGCTGTATTCTGACGATATACAAACACTAATGATACTAGCCTACCTCAGATGTTTAAAGAAAATACCAAGTGACATCAATTTTGGGGAAAACCACCAGCCTCTCATTTTTTTATTTAGAGTAAGTTCTTGCCCTAGTACTCTTAATTCCTATCAATTGGGGCAGTCTCTGAAAAGTCTTTCTCAAGAGTGCCATCATCTCATTTTAGAATTAGTGCTTATTGGTTGCTGTCACTGCACTTTAATAGAAATAAGAAGTTTGAATATTTTTCCTAAAGAATTGATTAAATTATCTGCTCAGCAAAAGTATTTTTAAAGTTTTTCTCTTATCTTAGTAAGTAGAGGAATTTTCTCAAATATTTATAACATTGTAACATTCTTAAAATATATTCCTTTATTTTGGCTTTCTGTGAAGCCTTGGGACCACAGAGCAGAAACCAGCACTGTAGGTTTTGTTTCCCCAAGTGATACAATACTCTGATTTGCACATTCTTTCATCTGAACTAATCATGCTGACTGAGATTTAATTTGTAGAACTGTATTCTAATCTTCAAGGATAGCATATTAGATTTGGGTTGGACCGGAAGTATAAATAGCTTTTCAGCAGCTTAAATTTTGTAGTATTATATTTTCTCAATTCTTTTGGAACAACAAGAGATAGATAGATAGATAGATAGATAGATAGATAGATAGATAGATCTGTAATGATTCCATTAAAATCTAATTGTTGTTCTATTCAAATCATATATGCAGACGTATTACTGACATTCTGAATGTTTCTTTTGATCTCCTTTAAGGCAGACTATGAATTTATCAGCTCTGGTCTCTACCTTGTAGTGTTGTTACACTTATGCGAGCAGCGCTTTTCTGATATGTTAGGAACTGCAAACGAGGCCAGCACGCGTGTCAGGGTAAGTATGCAGTGATTTTCTGGCAGGAATTGTTCATACAGAGAACTTGGAAGCAGAAAGTTAGCTTGAGTGACCTAGGTGTTAGATACTCAAGAAACACACTTTTTAAACGAATTTAGGTCTAAAATGGGCTGTTCTTGTCAGTGCACCACATTTGGAAATTGAAGGTACTACATACTTGCAGGTACTCTGCTAGGAATGCTTTTTGTCAAGGTTGTTGGTAATTCATTAGTTAGCATACATGTTGTCATGATTATTGTGAATTTATGCAAAACTGGAATGTTAACCTTTCTCTGTGCCAAACATGCAGTTAAGAATGCTGGACTACCTGATTTGTTTAATTTTTCTCATTATGCAAGTCTATATTGCAAAGGTCTAGAATTTGCAGTGCTTGTCTGCTGGAGTACACCGAAATGTGTACTTGAATATTAACATTCTGCAAGAGCCTGTAGCTGTGATTGATTGAATGATTTCTCTGGCATTAGTCCAAGCTCTTACTAGTTGCATTTGACTCGTCACTTGAAAGGCCTGGCTTAGGAACATGTTAAGTACACCTCTAACCAGTGAGTGATCAGCATACAGAGTTCTTTCTGCATGCTGATTCACTCTTAAATCCAGTATTCTACATTTTTATTTGATACTTGATAATTAATCAGTGCTCTTAGTCAGCTAAGCTCCTGAAAAGCCAGTTATTTTTATGTTTTTTGCTTACATACAAAGAAGGGACAATATTAAGCTTATCCAATGCATATGGGAATGGTTGACTGCTAGCAGATACTACATTAGATTAGATCTTTGGAAGAGGCAGGACTGTGCTCTGTCTAATCTCTTAATGTATTTGGAACAGTGCTTCTCTTTTCTGTACAGATCCAACGTAGGGCTTGTATTTGGTGGTCCAGTTTCTGTGCTACAAGTGTAGAGGTTATAAAAGACAAATGCTCTTACCATAGCCAGCACCCAGCACAGGTTAGCTTGAGTGTATTGCAGAAGATATTTTTACTGGTTTCCCATCAGAGGAGGCGTTACATCATTTCATGTGTGATGCTGCATTTTGAACCAGTGAGAGCATCAGTGCTGATATTTGATATCGAGCACGTGAGTAAGCCAGGGAAACTAATTTTATCTGCTGTATCTCAGTACTTGGACTTTTAACTGAAGCAGTGATGCAGATTGGCAGTGACAAAAGAAAGCCACTTGGCTGAGATGTTTTATTCGTAGGAATTTTGGCTTTGGGTTTTGATACCAAGTGCTTCTAACATCAAACCGCCACCATTGCCTAGTAGTAATCCTGGTCTTAAGATTTTAATCGTAAACAAAAACTTGAAGTGTGCTTATGCATTTTTCATGAACCACATTCATTCAAAGGGTTCTGTTTCGTCATACTAGTCATGAATTAAATGAAATGGATTTAACGAATTCAGGTCCTTACCATGACTATGTTTTTCTGCATTACAGTTTTTAGGAATGTTTTTCATTAAACTGACATGTGTTTATGTTTGCTAGTTTCAAAATCGATGTGTGTTACAGACTGTAGAACATGGAGATGATGTTACAAGCTGCTACCACAAACATTTTACAGCTGAAATAACTGTGCAATAGCAATTTCATGTCAAATGTGTGGGGATTTATATTAAATTTTGCATTGTTTTTTGTAAGTTGTGCAAATGGGTTAGGATAACCAAGATCTGTCGTGAAGCTTTGGGATGTAAAAAGTGAAGAAAACTTTGCTAACTTGTTGCAAATTTCTGCAGATAACTTTGCAACTTTTAAACTACTTTCTCTCTGCCTTGTTTCTAGTTTATTAACCTTGCAAGAACTCTTCAGGCACATATGGAAGATATTGAAAGTAGGTGCTTCCACTCCTTCCCTCCCCTCCCATTAGATCAACGCAAAGCTAATGAGTACAATCCTCCTTGCCAAGATTCATAAACTGAACATAATAACTGAAAACCTTACTCAGCAGTGCTTTTTCCATCATCAGTAGAATTATTCTGAGGGGGAACCGATTTTAATTCTCCATGATTAATTTCCCAACAGCAGAGTCATTTAGACTACAGAAGTGTTATCTGCAATCGATAACAAAATTCCTTAGTAGTTACAGTTTGGTTATTGTAGTTCAGGTAATCTGTAATTACAGGATAAATGGTGACCTTTAGGTTGTTGCCTTTCACAAGAGTTTTAGTAGGAAAGAAGCATTTAGAACTGAATTTTACTGCATTTAAATTAGACATTTGCATTGCCATTTTTCTTCTCTTTCTTGCCCTCTTCTCCCCTTTGTTTTTTCCATTCACACACACTTTCTGGTTGTGTGGGTTGCTTGATCAGACCTGTCAGACCTTGTGAATGAAGTCTAAAAGTTGCCAATTTTGGCAAAGGATTAGCCTACTTTTCATCTAAGGGCTTTTTTTAGTGTGTTTAAGTTCAAAGCTATATGCTGATACATCTAAATTTCTGGTAAATATACCCTGGGTCTATTTCCGGGCATGTTGAGTAGGCAGTAGAAGGGTAGTTGGTCTACCCTTTTTTTTTCCTAGTGTGCATGTGAGTGTCTGTCAACTGTATATGGGTTTTCAGTACACAGGATGCATTTGGAATACTATAAGGAATGGGAGTGTGTGTTTGTGAAGGAGGAAGTTCAAAGTGATTATTTCTGCATTCAGAATGGTCAAAGGTAGACTTGAATTCTGAATTCATTCCTAAGTTATGTGCATCCTTAATGGAGGAAAAATTGAGTGTCATTTTACTCCTTAATTCAATTTGTATTTGATTCAGCCTTTAACTTGCAGGTGAGGAATACTGAGTTCTAGATTTCTTACTGATGCACTTCAGTTACGTTTCTCTTCTAAGAACGGAAGAAGCAAGGAGTCAGACTTTTCTTCCTTCTGTGTTCAGGGATGGAACAAATTACTCCAGTATAAATACTTCCTTGCCTGCAGACCTTGCTTAAGAGGACACACTAAATTCCTGTTACAGACAAGCTAATATTTTACAAACCTAATGTAGATGCGTGTACTGACTTTTCTATCATAGTTGACAAGTGTGTGTTTGTCTTTGAATTCACCTTGCAATGACAAAATCCTGTGCATATGTCGGCTTTGTGTTCATCTTGCATATGCTGAAAGAACAGGAGTGGAGAGAGGAGCTGCTTCCAAGTAGGCCCAGGTTGATTGCATTAAACAATATTTGTATATACATATATATATATCTAAAAAAAAAATATTTAAGAGTCTGTGTTTAGACTGCTGAATCTTTCTAGGTATTTTAGTATCCAAATTGTTAATCTAGTGAGTAATTTCTTTTCCTTATGTTGGGTGCTGCTGTAATGGATTGAGTATATCCTCCTCTGACTACTGCTGGAATTAGCTACTCTAAGAACTACATAAAAGTTGAATCTCTGGCGTAATTAAGTTTTCTTCCTCTTATTTTGAGGAAGAAGAGTAGGAGGACACTGCATATTGCATGTTCTTTTGGGTTTTGATTAGAAAATGCTGTATTTTTCCAACATGAGATGCATTTAAGAATTAAGCTATGTGATTACTCAAGGTTTGGGTGGGTATTACAGTGTGCTGTTTAATATTATAAAATCACCTTTATTTCCTCTACTCATCCTAAAGTACTTTAATTTCATACATTTTTGTCAAGGCTTCTGATTACACTACATTGTTCCAACAGCTTCTGAAGATGATTCTGAAGACTGATGCTGGTAGAAGTTTCATACTGCAAGAAACAAACGGAATTGCTGCCGAAATGCTGAACTGGCAAGAACATCAACATGCATTTGTTTTATTCCTCTCCTTAGTAAAATGTGCATTGAATATTACTGTAGTTTTTGAAGCATTGTTGAATTCAAAATCAACTGCTGCACAGTGGAGCTCACTGGACTTGAGAACTACTCAGCATGTGTGAGGATTAGATACATAGAAAGCAACTTCCCTTTTTAAATTATGAGGATGTCGTGCTTTGTTTCGGAAGACATCAGATTCTGAATATTTAAGGAAGCTCTATCCCCCTTTGTGTTTTCTTCTTACTGTAGTCAGACCTCTGGTTTTGTCTTACCAAGTTTTGCTCCTGTACTGGCACAAAGGGATTATAGTGGGTTTCAGGGGGAGGGTGGGGATGCCCGTGTACTTAAATAGATTTTGTTTGGGTGTTCTTAAATGCCTCTTTTGCCGCATCGCGTAACTGATTGCTTCCATTGTTAATGAATGAACAGGAGGATAAGCAAGATACTGAAGAGACTGTTAGGGTTTGGGCTTATTTGAAGATTATTATTTAACTCAAAAAGCAATAAGAACTTGCAGCGGTCTTTTAATACTTGGTGATGGCTTTTTTATGTACCAGTTTGGAAATCTGAGATTATATTTGATATCATGTGGCTGTTCCATTATGGAATATTGCAGGCATAAACTCTTGCATTTCAGCATTCCTAGCAGATATGCAACTTGACAAAGACCTAAGGTTGTTTAATTTAATCAGACTTTTTTTAGATCCCACCTTCACTGTTCAAAGCACTGGTTATCAATGTGTTTTCTAGTGTTGTCACTTCTTTATAAATAAAGACAAAAGAGGTATGCATCTCTACTGGTATTGTCCATTTTATTTAAATCTGGATCTCTACCAGGACCTACACTTGAAAACATAGAAAGCTGTAGACTGTGGTATATCTTTACTAATGTTTATAAATTCTTACCCAGATATTTAAGATTATTCTGACCATTTTGGATTAAAATGCTTTCTACAAATGGTGGTACAATAAATTCTTCTACATGTATTGGAATTGTATTTCCTACAGAGATGTGATAGTTTTGTAATTACCACAGTAACAATGTATCTGCATATAGTACAGTATGTTGAAATGCCATGAGTTTAGTTTGTTATAGTACGTAAAACTAACTTGTACAGACGAAAGGATGTGCCTTACCAGCCAAAATGAACTCATGATTTTTAGAGTTAACTTTGCTAGCATTACATGAGGTGGCCTGTCATCTGTAAGACTTGAAAGAAAATTGAATGCTAAGGAAATGGCGTATTTCTATGCCCATTGTGGTAACTTCAGACATTCAATGCCAACACTTACAAGTATTATTCAGTAATTAGTTGAAATACACCTCTAGGACATTCATCTGAAAAATGAAGGTCCAGGCAGATGTGAAGATGTTTCTAACTCATTTCTGAAGAAGGTGAATTGAAGTTTATTATAGTGTTCAATCCTTGCTGAGTTAGATGGTGCAGCTTAATAAAATGTCATACAGTGAAGCAGTATTTCATATGCACTCAATACATTTAGGGTTACAAGCATGGATTCTGATACCCTAATAAATTGATGACTTGAAGGATATTTTTAAAAATTCTTTCTTCAGTCTTTGTAACAAACACCATTCCATGGAGGTAAGCAATGCAAGGAGCTCCACATACAAATGGGGTTGAAATGATATATATGTTTGGTGTCCTACAGCCTTGTCAAGCTTCAGTGCAAATGAAAGAGTGACATGGGGAAATTCCACGGTGGAATTTGTGGAGAGTAGAGGGTCTGAATGCACCAGTTAGGAAGAATGCTGCCACCAGACCCAGCTGCCTTCTCAGAGGAGAGCTGCCTTGCAGCCCTGATGCCCTACAGCTTTAGAAGGGTAGAGCCTGGCAGTGGCCAGATTAGTTGTCTTCTACATGTAGCTGTGCTGTGAGATGTCAGTCCATGGGAGCACCTATCTGTGCAAGCTTTTGTGGGTCCATGCAAGCGGATTTTTAGCACACTGCGTGCGTGTCCGTGCAGGTGTCTGTGCAAACATGCATTTTGTCTTGTCCGTGCACGCATGCACCCCGTTTGTTCCCTGGGTTTCAAGACAAAAGGAATAACTGTCTTTTTGCTGGTTCTAGCAGTTCACAGGCATACCTGATCCTCAGTGGTGGGGTCAGAGCTCCCTAATGAGGCCAGTGATGACAGATCCACGTGAGAATGGGAACAAGCTGCAGAACTGAGTGCCCTCTCCCATCCTGGGGTCGCTTAAGAGCTGTGAGGTTGACAGGGCGCAAAGGTGTTCAGTGCCATCGTGAGTCTTTAGGGATGTGGCTCCTGCAGAGGTCCTCGGTGCTCTCTGCTGGATGTGCTCCAAGTGTCCATCCTGGGCTGCTGTGTGGGGGGTGAGAAGGAGAGTATGTTTTTCCATGTCACAGTTCTGACTTTTGTGTGTGAAGTAGTTTTTTTCTGTGCCACCCTCTCCTGCCAGTTTGCACTGCACTGACTTGCCTTGTTTCAAACGTCCCTCTTGAGCACTGCTGCACTCCTTCCAAACCCAAGCACGGGCTGGGCTCTTCTGATCATTAACACTGCAAATAAGAAGGCTGCAAATGTGCAGCACAGAGGACCCCACCCGTCCACATGAACTTCACATGCTGTGCATGTGCGATTAAAACGCAGTAATAAAACTCCTCAAACATAAAAGCACACAGCAAAAACGCGTGCACATAGGTGGCAGGCCGCCAAGAGACGAGCAAACACTCGGAGAGCGGCGCACGCGCAGTGCGGTGAGGAGCTGCGTCTGGGGTGCTCGCTGCCTCCCCCTGCTGGCTGACCGGAGCTACCGCAGCCGCCCGGGGCGGCGCTGCACGTGCGCAGTGCCCCGATGATGCTGACCCGGAAGGCCGCGCTGTGCAGGGAGAGGCCGCAGCGACGCACGCGCAATGCCTCGGGAGTGCACGCGCGGCGGCTTCTTCCGCTCCGTGTCGCCGCCTCCTGCTCTGACATCCCGTACCGCAGCGGGGACCTCCCGCCTTCCCTGGGTGCCTCCGCCTCTTGCCTGTCCTGCCCGTGTGAGGCCGCGGTGCCCAGAGTGCAAATCACGGGGCTGTGGTGCTACTGCCACCAGGCATTCGTGGTCTCCTATTGCTCCTGGGGCCTGAATTGTCTCCACTTGATGCCTTGAGAGGCTAACCTAGAACAGAGGCTAGACAGAGTTAAAGGACATCACAGTCAGCAAGGACTGTTCCGAAATGTCGTCCCCTGGCTCCGGAACTTTACATAAAGTTGTGTTCCCCAAAGCCCAGGCGCTGCTTCTTGGTGCTGTATGCACCTCTTGCCTTTGCCTGCTGTGAGCAGCTTTGTGTTGCAGCTCAGCTACTTCAGTGGTTTCTATACCAGAAATCCCTGTAGTGAGCAATCAAATGGGAGGTGTGAAAGCCGGGATCCTTTGACTTCCACAGTGGGCTTAATTGGTTTTTTCTCCTCTCCTTCAGGAAAGGAAAAACCATTTAAATCGGCCAGAAGCTTTGGTGTTTGAGCAGCCAAAGCCAAGAGGCTCTGGCCCCAGGCATCTGCACTGGAGGGCCCCTGGTCGTGCCCACACTATGGGGTAAGTCAGAGGGATGCAGGGTTCCTCTTGAGAGGAATGATGGTTTTGTCTTTACAAATAAGCTGTAGGTCTGCTGGTAAATAAAACTAGCACTGAGAGATAAAAGAATCAATGGAAAATATTCCACTGATTGATGAATGGAAAAAAAAAAAAAGATATTTGCCTTTACAAACAAACTGTAGGTTTGCTGATAAATGAAATTGGATATCGAACGATGAAAGAGACAGTGGGGAAACACCATAAATTCCTAAGAATTAAAAATTAAGAGGGAGGGTTATACTTTAGAGGAGAATCTTAGGTATCAGGCATTCCGGGAAGTCTGTGCCTCTCAAGTACCTCAGCCAGTGGAGAAAGAGAGAGGGACATGTGGCCAGGAGATTGGGATAAAAAGGAGGCTGTGCCCTCCAAAAATTTGAGAGACCCCAGGGGAATGCCCTGTGGCCTCTCCCTTTATTGAAATATAGTAAAAGGACTTCTCTGTCTCCATTTTGGACATAAACCTGGTGTTTGTGGATTAATTTTCCTGACACTGGTCAGATGAGGAGGAGGAGCAGTAGGTCAAGAGACACTCCAACTAAATACTGACAGAGAAAGTAAGACTTCTGTGCAGTGATAAACGTTGTGTGTTTATAATAGCTGGATCACTTGAGGCAGTGAATATTTCCTGCAGGTTATTTTTTCACACCAGTATCTACTTAATTTCGCTCTGGTTATACTTACTTTGCTGGCATTGATCCAGAGCAGGACATACACAGTAAAATAAGGAAAAGAAACATCACAAATGCAGCAAGGCCGACCCAAAAGGCAATGACAATGGAGTCTGTGGACACAGCGCAGTAATTCTGTCACATGCATTTTGCATGGAAAAAAAACACAGCAAGATGATTTATCATCTCTAGTAAAGGAGTGTCATTTGATTAATTCAGTTTCTCCTTTTAGAGAGAGGAATATAAATGCCAATTTGTTAAAGGTCTTGGGAGCCTCCTAACTGTGTATGGCAACAGGGATGAGGGAGGGATTGGGAAAAGCCTCCAGAGAGTGTTCTGGTGACTAGAACTGTGCAGATACTTGACTATGGTTCCTTTTACACAACCATGGTGCTGGAAGCTTGAGTGATTACTGCCCAGCCCTGCAGGATCTTTATGGAGAGACCCTCAGGAAGGGAATTCCAGCCTTGAAAGCATTCTATACCAAGAGAAATAGCAAGGGAAGTTTATTGCAAAGTGCCCGTGACCCTCCCAGCGCATCAGTGCAGTGGCAGAGCATGTGCCCATTGTCCTATTCAGCTGCAGTGGCCCTGCAACCACCATAAAATACTGCAAGATGTTTCCTGCTCTGCCAGGAGCAAATGGTTTAAGGAACAAGAGGGTTCCCAGTGCTGAAGTGTTTTCACAGCTGGTTTAGCGGAAGGATGAGGCGGCTGGGAGAGCAAAGGTATAAAGCAAGAATAATCTCCAAAAGTGGTTCGGGTTTTGGTTTTGGTTTTTTTTTCCTTTGTTACCCAACACTACTTGGCTTTACTACTGTGAGCTTTAAAAAGTTTTCTCCAAAAACTCGGAATTAATTTCCCCATTCTACCCCATTGGTAGGCACTGCTTCTCTTCGAAAAGCTTCTGCCCTCCACCTTCACTGCCCTGTTTTGAAGTAGTGCTCCACTTCAGCCTGTTGTGATGGGTCTTACATCCTTTTCTGTACAGGTAACTGAAACAGTTGTTATTGACAGACCTGCCAGAGGAGCTTCCATTACTGCAGTGTCACTTGTGAGGCAGTTTCTGCTCTAATAAGTTTTTGAATGCTGCTTAAGAGCAATAAACCTCATTCTGGATGTCTGAAGGTGAGAGAAGAGATGGTTGCATCCTGGGAGCCTAATTTTGGAATGTTTTATGGAATTGGCTGAGTAGCTTTTACTTCTGGGATTTCTGTAGTCTGTCCATGGCAGGTCCAGCCTGTGCTTCAACTTGGAGCCCTCAGCCCGCAGGGAAATGAACCTTTGGGGAAGTTCTTACAGCTCTGCTTAATGCTTTATGAATTATGCTGTTTTTCTGGAAGTAGGCTGTCCGTTCTGACTCATTTTCTTCTCTCTCCCTGAAGACTGTAGCTGCTGAAAGGCTGAGGTGAGACCAAGGTCTACAACTGTGTCTTCCTGAGGCTAAAGCCATGTTTGCTGCCAATGATGCAATAGTGGAAGATGCTAAAGACTGAAAACTTTGGGATTTTTGCCCTGAATGCCAAGAC